ACAAATATGTTTATAATATTATGACTGTTCTATTACATTAAGCAATAACATAAAATCAAATATATGATTAAGTAGATTTTGTAGGAAAATAATAAAGAATATGCATTGTACACGAAATATAGAAAAACGAATAAATAACTTGTGAAAATGAGCAAATGTTGCAATATAAAAGATAAGTAGTTAAGTAAGTATACAGAGTGATATCAGTTTACAAAAAAATAATAATCTAATACAAATATGAAATAGGTAGGTATATTTGATAGAATAGCAGGTAGGATTAAAGCTTCGTTACATAACGTAACAAAGGATTACTGATGGTGATAATGTAACATTTGCGAACCATTTTGCTAGAATTTGATAAAAATTAAAAAATACCTAAAAAATTAAAAAAAAAAAATCTTTAACTCAAAACTTGGAAATTCATATATTAAGCACTTCAAGTAATAACTTAATAAGTATACTGTATATCTAGTAAGTTATTATTTAGCAACTAAATATCTCGAGTTTATATTCTAATGTCTTAAAAACTGCTGTCTTATTTTAACCCCATCAATATTTTATCAATAAGAAAATAATTGAAAAGTACATATGCAACAGAAAGAGTTGAGTTCCATAATTAGAATATTAAAATTAAATAAAGAGCAACTCTACCTAAAACACCTAAAATCACAACACAATTAGGTACATTCATAATTAACTGATCACGTAAGTACTTTTCTGGAAATTATCACGTTTTGATGGTATTTATTGACTATAGTAAAGCGTATCACATTTCACAATAAACGTAATAGAAGAGACTCGAGGAGAGACTGACTACTGAGGAGAGAGGGGCTTATTGTAACGTTTTTAGCCCCCGACGCAAAAACGACGGGGTGTTCGAAGTTTGATATTTTCGAAGTCGGTGCGAGTCGATGCAAAGCAAATCTAATATATTTCGATACGTAAAATTCATATTTACCTATTAAGATATTCATATCTTAAAATATTGTAGGCTGGCACCGACTTCGAAAATATTTGATTAGGTATCTATTCTAAATGAAAACCTACGTTTAGTTATTTTTTAGAATTTAGTGCCTGGAAGTCGGTTTTTTTATGTTTTTATTTCCCATTTTTAGACGTAATAAGCAGGTAATTTATAAGAAGTAAGTTTTTTAATAAAATATTCGATTAAACAATTTATTTAAAAAAATATTTATTGTTGAATTTTTTTAAAACCGCTCGACCGATTTCGATGAAATTTATATGGGACCACCTGGGAAGTATACCCTTTGAAACAAAAAAAAATCCAAATCAGTTCAGGCGTCTTCAAGTAATCGGTGAACATACCTAGATTAAAAAAAAGATTCCGACGAATGAGAACCTCCTCCTTTTTGGAAGTCGGTTAAAAACAAGATGAGATTAATGAAGATACAGAAGAGAAAGGAAGTAACGGTGTTAAAGGAAGAAAAAAGTTCAATTAAAAAATGTAGTTTATAAGTAGTCGGATGACGGATCTCTGTCAGGTATGATACCAATAATTTTTTTATTATATAAATCAGAACATTTAAAACAAATGAAAAATTGTGATTCTAAGTGGGTACCTATATACTTTAGCGGTAGACTCCGTGCAGGCGAGTGTGACCAAGCCGAATATAGGAATAAGAAAAACCGCGCCAAATGGATTTATTCCACATCAACATCAGCTGTTAACCATTACTTAAGACTTCAAATTACACCTTTTTTATCGGTAAAACCTACATTCTACATATAAAGAAAGTTTTAAGGAATATTTCAAAGAAGTTTTTGGACCCTGAGTTCAGAAAAGCTCAAGTCGAAATCAGGCATACTTGATGGCCAGCAAATTCGCTAATTGGTAAGTGACCCTAATTCGCTAAAGCTCACCCTCGCTTCGCTCGGGTTCGTCGCTACGTTTTAAATATATGTAAATAGTTATTACCCAGCGTTAGCCATATAAATTTTAATATGGTTGTTAAGTATTTTTAAATAAGTATTCCTAAATTTTATAATTTTCAGCGCAATTTTTTAAATTTTTTCTTTCATATGAACCTTCTGACAATAACAAACACAACAAAAAAAAATAGTTAAATCGGTCCAGCCGTTCACGCGTGATGGTGTGACCAAGGGAAATAGGATTCATTTTTATATATAATAATAGAATAGAAAGGACGATGATTACGTTAAACGCTTTGAAGAAATGTCTCACTTCCAGCAACTTGGATGCAACATGTTACATGAGCATCAAAGTGCCCTTCCTTTCAGCCATTTAGATGATTTTCCGAAAGTAAAACAGGGTGAACGATTCTAGGGTCGCTCGAATGCGCATAATATGATGTTTGATTATTGCTGGAGTATACAGAATAGCACTTTGTCATTCAAAATCATTACAAACTACTTGTAAGTAGTTTTTTAATTACATATTTTGTACAGTGAGAGAATTCTTTCTAAAAGAAGACCTTATATTTCATAATTAGTTTATGATATAAAAACTGTATGAAAATAGCGTAAAAAATTAGCAAAATTTTACATGCAACAGACATGTGTATGTTAAGCAGTGTTATTTATTCGATTAGATAATATTATATCGACTTCGCGCAATATAACAATAAATCATTGAATATTTATTTATAACTAGCGACTTACCCTCATTTCGCTCGGTGCGTCATTACGTTTTAATTTTTTTGAGTGACACCATACTTTTTTTTTTCTAAAAAAAAATTAACCTAAGTTACTCCTTATAACGTCAGCTATCTGCTAGTGAAAGTCCCGTCAAAATAATTTCAGCCGTTTTGGAGATTAGCCACAACAAACAGACAGACATCATATTGTTTTTCTTATAAGTACCATAATTTCATATGCATTTAGTAAAAAACCTGTTATTTTGACATTACATACTTTTTTATTTTTTAATTACACTTTAATTTAATTTATCTGTCTAGATGTACGTAATACATCACGTGTTTGGCACGTTTTTACTCGCCTTCAAAAAAGCGGAAGTATAGGGTAATGGCTCCAGTGAATGAACGATTAAGGACTACTACATTTTAGTTTTACTTCATTTTAGTTTTAGTTATTATATCAAATATAGCAAAAATAATGTTTTGTTTTAATTCTATACATTATTTTATATAAAAAAAGACAAAATCACTAGTGAATGAACAGGGAGTACCAGTAATAAATAAGAATACCTAAACGAATTTTATCCAGTGATTCAATCACTCACAATTTGTATTAATAAATGCTTTATTAGGTACCTACCTATTATACACCTCTAAATACTTATATCGATTTTTTATTAACGGCAATATAAACCAGCGAATTATGTGTCCACCTTATATTTAATGTCCCAATTTATATTATTATCGCAAAAAAATAGCAGGACCATTGTAATGATTAACCGATTGACGCCAGATCATTGGAGATTGCAACTAGAAGAAAGTGTTTTCTTCTTAGAGACACATAAACGTAATTCTTTAATACAGATTTTGCATACGAAACAAAAACAAATTGGATTGTTAACGCAAATGAAGAATACCAATGGGTACGCTAACTCCCATAAAACTCTAATATAGTAGAGCTTAGATGTCTAGACACACATGTGTTTTGGTTTTATTTAAATATTTTAAGTAGTTTCGATTTTACAAATATTCAAAGTTACGATTAAATTCGTATATCCGCGAGAGCACGCAGTTGTGGTGTTACATCTATACATACCAATAATAAAATTGTAACTAAGCGGAATCTGTACCTACATTTGAAATTTGGTATGATGATAGCTGGTTATCCGGGTCAACATATAGGATACCTACTTTTTACTGCGGGTAAATATCTCACCTCTGAGAAATCTATACTAAACGTTAAAACGTAAGTAGGGGCGAACCCGAGCAGAGCTAGGTTGAGTCGCTAGTACAACATATGACCTCAATTGAACTCTCGGCTCTCGACCGCAAAAATATAAAAATAAGTATGGTCCTACTTACTTAATATTATCATTGTATTTTACGACTACCCAACCTGGTCACGACCCGACTACCCAAGCGATGGTGTTGTATGACGTCACAGCATCGAGCGTTGACACTTGACATGAACTTAAAAAAAATCAAATTCTCGAAAACTGTTTGAACTATTGAAAAAAATTTTACAGATGTTTTTTTTAAATTTCAATGTAGTTTATTATAAGCTAGAAATCTAAAGTTGTTGGTATTCTTCATTCTCAATGGGAGCATGACAGACATAACGAAGAATTAATTTAAAAAAATTATCGATCATAATAGATTTAGATAAAGTAAACAAACTCTATGAAGGCAATAATAAGAATAATAAGGAAGTAGCTGTATCTGAAAAACTGAGCCTGATACAATAAAACTAAGGGTAGATTCGAAATCAGTGACCTTAAATTTGTAAACAACCATTAAAATATTATGTGTAACAAAATAGAACGATTTTGTTGTGCCATGCTGTGTAATAATATGAAGTCACAGTGTATTTTCAAAGAAATGCATAGCACAAGCAACATTCATATTATCACGTTTATGACATTCACTTATAGAATGCGCAGGAGATGTAAATTGTAAGAGAGTTTGCATTGACACAAGTGGATTCTCTATTTATCTCACTTTTAAAATCAGATGGAAAGACAATTCAACCAAATCAGTGAGAGATCAGGCAATGCAATAACGTGACCAACAGCTTTATGTAAGCTCTAAGGCGCGGGGGTGAAACACTACAAAGTTTACTACTCTGGGCTGTTACTGAGATATCTAATTAGAAAGACTTAATAACTAATCTTGGCCTAACTTGTAACTCGAACCTAGAGATGATCCATATGGATCTGCAGCCTTAGATTGTAGCCACTAGACAACCAAACAGCCATTTGTTAAAAGAATAATTAGCAAGTGTGTAGTTTTTATTAAACATAGATATAACATTAGGTGCATAGATATAACAATGTATTATTATAAAAAAGACTTATTTCTAACTATAAATTATTTACAAATATTTCAATATAATGATCCTTTATGTTCAGGTAATAAAAAGTAAATTGTAACAGGTCCTTTGGATGTATGCACTACTTCAGCATGCCTTATAAGCAGAGTAGCTGCAAGGCCATACAGTAAGCATGGTATACCTGAAAGTATTAATAGTAATTGTAAGGTTGAGTCACAAAAAATACTAAAGAAATTATAAAATAGTTTTATATTTACTAAAAATTTCCTAACCTACCTAAATTAAGAATTTTAATTATCCTCATAAATTTATCTGATACACTTAATTCTTCTTCTTCTTTTTTAGAACAATGATACTTGATGTATGGAAAACAGCCAGTCCTTAATATTTGATAATTAGATTTGCCTACTTTCCAATTAAAATTGGACATTCCAAATTGATTGTCCTTCACACTGCTATACTAAAAGATAACATGTACATATTATAATTTTGCAAATTAAACATATAGGTTTCTAATCAATGTTAATAATTTACTTTACATAATACTTCCTTACATGGTTTTAAATAAAACTACAATATACATAACATTTCAATTGGTAACCATATATTTTATCAGTTACATTAATATCAATTATACTTTATTTTGGTTATAACAGCTAATATTGAATAAATTAATAAAAATTTACAGTTTAATTATGACCATAGTGGCCAGGTTTTAAAAGAAAATTTTACCTTTACGAAATATGAAGTCCATGGAGGTTCTTTACATTGTGTTAAGTATGTTGTTAAAACTTCAGAAGATGTGGGTTTTGATGAATAATGCATTATAGATATTCTACACGTTCTTTGAGACAATAAACCAAAATTTACTATCATATTTGTATTGTTACGTAAATAAATGTTGTAAAAATAACACTATCATAGCATACATTTAAAATATAGGTAAGTATCTAATCAATTAAATACATAAGAACTTAAATAAGTTTATGTAATATTCATTTTAACCGGATAGTAACATATATGATACTTAGATTGTTATAAATAATTTAAAAGCACCAGTAGAATAGGTGAAACGATAATCAAAGTTCATTTCAAACCAGCTGTATTTGACATTTCATCAGGATTACCAACGTTAAGACATTAGATTAAAAATGACCACTTAAGTCGTCTCGGAATCATTCAAATTTATTTATCTCATCTCAAGAATAAATTATACATATATACGTTTAAAAAACCGACTTCAAAAACTAAAAAGTATAATAAAATTTAATAAAGATTTAATTTAATACACCTCAGCAAACCTTATAAATTATAATTGTCATTTTTCATCATTATTTGTCAATTGTCATTTGTCATTATTCATGTAACTAAACTCAAAAATCCAAATGAGTTTCTCGAATAATTAAAAGTTTACTATTTTACTTTTTCCTAATAAATATTCTTAAATGACTGAAGGAATTATTAAATATACCATTTAATTGTTAAATAATGTGGACTACTAAGACATTTCTAACTAAAACAAAACGCGGCAACGTTTTAAAAGTGAGGTTATGTTTTAATGTTTTGATCCGGAATTTTGCTGCTTTATCTTTTAATTTAAATTGAATATGATAAAAATTTAATATAATAAACTTATTCATAATATTATTACAGATAGTAAGAGAGCATTATTTGCGAGATGATTTATTATGTGGTTCTGCGGCGTGTAACTTGTGTCCACATAAAGATGATGAATTCGTGTTAGACGATAAACCGAAATCAGTTTGCTCTTTATTTGACTATAATCACTATTTAATCTTGGATACAAATGTAGTATTACATCAGATAGACGTTCTGGAAGAAGATGCATTAAAAAATGTTATTATCTTACAAACCGTACTTGAAGAGGTTAAACACCAGAATACAGCTATTTTTCAAAGACTTCTGGAGATAATTGGAAATAAAAAAAGAAAATTTCACTCATTTGTAAATGAGCATCATAAGTAAATAACATTTCATTCTAAAAATGTTAATAATGTAGTTATAATATAATTATAAAATGTCTTTAATCTTTGATAGTAGTCCAAACATTTTTTTTTAGAGATACTTATGTGGAGCGTAAGCCAGGAGAAAAGCAGAATGACCGTAATGATAGAGCTATTCGTAAGGCAGCTGCATGGTATGCTTCGCATGTATCTATCAACAATGTGGCAGGACAGTTTCCACAAATTGTTCTTCTTACAGATGATGAGAATAATAGAAAAATTGCTCAAGAAGAAGGCATTGTGTGTTGTTCTGGTATGCATAATTATACTATATAATTTTAGTAATAAACTATTTTTCTTGTGGCTGTTTCAATTATGTAAAATGTTGGTACATAATTTATATTTTTCATCTTTAATTGAATAAAAAAATGAAAATTTATATAACATCTTTACTTCTCGTATAATGAATATTGACTATGACTATAGCATAGCAAAAATGTCCCATTACTAAGATGTTGTCATATGCATATTGCATTTTTTAATATTTTGTATGTATTTCAAAATATGTAGATCAATTACATTTCCTTGACTTCCTACGGTTATCATTGCTTTAGTACACCATGTTTGTACAGTAAGTAAAAAAATAAAAATAAAAAAAAAAAAATATGTTGGGACATTAACATATATATATATATATATATATATATATATATATATATATATATATATTGACATACATATCATAAATATATATGACTGGAGTACAGACATTTGTGCTCATCACACAAATGAATGCCCACAGCGGGACTCAAACCTGCAACCACTGGCATAGCACTACAAACTGAGCCAAATGTGTTGTCAACCTATTAGTGAAGAAACAGTTTATCTAACATCATCCACACTGCTATATTGAAAATAATTTAGTAGGGAAAAGTAATAGTTTTCTGTAAAAAATGATCTACAACTACTACATAATACAATATAATCATATAATTCATATACCTACTGCTTATTATATTTGACATACTAATATGGCATTTTTGTGTATTTTATATCATTGTGTTTTTTTTAGTAAAAGATTATATAGAAAATGTTACTGACTTTCCTGGACTTTCTGATAAACTTTCTAAGAATGTGATACCAGAGAGTTGTACAAAAGATGCCTTATATCCTGCACATTTAACTCCCATTCAAATCCATAGCGGAATTAGAAATGGAAAATTACATCAAGGCACATTTCATGCTTCTAGAGATAACTTTTTGGAAGGAAATGCAAGTATCAATGGATATGAGAAACCTGTAAGTTAAATAAAATACAACTTTTTGAATACTCTTTTTACTTTTATTTAAGATGCAAACAATATGCTCATAAGTTAATTATAATACTATGTTTTCTTTATGACAAAATTAATCCTTTATTTTTTTAAATTATATTTTAATAATAATAAAATTTATCTTTTATATTAATTTAAATAAATATAAAAAAAACATTTTATACTATTTATTACAGAATTACAGAATAATAAATGAAATGAATTAGTATATTATAGACATGTACAAATTTTTGTTTTAGATTTTACTCCAAGGACATATAGGTATCAACAGAGCAATAGATGGAGATATTGTAGCCATTGAAATATTACCAGAAGAAGAATGGAGAAAGCCCAGTGATATTGTTTTAGAAGATAAAGCAGAAGATCCTGGTGATTTTTTGGAAGAGGAGTCCCAATTGCTTAACACAAAACCCAGTGTTCCTGATGAGGACATCTCACCAACTGGAAAAGTGGTAGGGATTATAAGAAGAAAATGGAGGCAATACTGTGGAATTTTAATGCCTAGCAAGTTTCCCGGTGAGTTCTACTTCTCTGATAGCAGAGTGGACTGTTAGAGAAATTCCATGAACCCCATTGCTTTTATAGTCTGCTTCGGCAGACCTGCCGTCGGGGCGTCGTGATTGAACGCGTAAGAGATCCTGCTACATGCCATTAAGACAGGGTTTTATTGAATTTAATTGGTACTGGCTTAACTAGGCGGTGAATCCCATATAACCACCTGTTTGTATACAGGTGGTATGCGTAAATACATTTCCCAACATTAAAAAAATAAATAAATAAATAATACTCATAGCAGTTGAATTAATTTGAATAAAGTTGAAAATAGAAATGTGCTGGCTTATTATATATGTATGGTGAAAGTGTATGAAATTAATTGGATATATATCTAATTCTATACATATAAATAAAATTGAAATGTTCATTAGTCATAGTATATAATCTTCCTTAATAATCCCTCTTTCTATTGGTGAAATTTGTATGAAAATCTGTATTGTGGTTTCTGAGATTAAGCCGTAGATCAAAAAAGTACTAAACTTGTATAACGACGTTTATTTGCAGGAGCAACACGTCATCTGTTCACGCCGGCGGAGAAGAGAGTACCGCGGGTTCGAATAGAAACACGTCAAAGTGATATTCTCGCTTCACAACGTATTCTAGTCGCCCTAGACTCATGGCCAAGAAATAGCAGATACCCTTTGGGACATTTCGTTAGATCTTTGGGACCTATTGGTATGTTATTTTATTGTTACAGTGGCTCCTGTTTGTATTTAATATTAATTTAAATTGAGGTAGTTGCACGATATAAATAAGAAGTTGTAACTAAGATATAATATTTCGATTAAAATAAAGATCCGTTATGAATATGTATTTAAGTTTATTGAATTTTTTTAAGTATCCATATAAAAAACCTAGTATTTTACTAAATATCATTAAGTATTCAAAAAACAAAACCTCACATTAGGTGCTCGTAGTAAATAGTAAAAAGTGTCATGACCGTTGAAATATTACACTTTTTTCTGTTGAGTTATTCGCTAAGTGTGTGATAACGTGCGATTAAAGGAACTTTGCTCCAAAAACTCATTTAATGACGTATACTTAAAATACATTCCTGAGTATGTATTTTATCAGTACTTTAGTGATCCCCGAGTGTTAATTGGAAAAACTTACTAAGGGACACAACGGACTAACAAATAAAAGAAAATATTATTTTATCTTTGTAGAGCTATTTGGCCCTCATATTATTTGGAGCGGGATCTAAATATTTTCGTTTTCTAAGTTAATGTTGATAAATAAATATCATAATAAACAAAATACTCTGTTATTCAACCCGGTGTCGGTGCAAGGTCCCCATACATTGGGGACCACTGACCTTGCACCGACCACCAACATCGCATCCACGGCGACAACTTTCGTGGCGCATAACTTTCGTGTCGCGACATTTTTTCTATGAGACTTTTATTAGGTCATTAATTGATCAAACTTCGATTATGTAATCTCCTCCATAATCTTTGGAATAGTTAGATTGTTAAAGTATCAGAAGTAAGATTTATAATGAAGTATTTTATACGATAAAAAAAATCTTTTGCATTCTCTGGCTGTGACTTCTATAATTACTCAAAAAATATTTTATTGCAGGCGACAAAGACGCAGAAAACGAAGTGATTTTGCTCGAACATGACGTACCGCACGCGCGCTTCAGTGAGGCGGTGCTCGCCTGCTTGCCGCCCGACGCCTGGACTATACCCGAAGAGGTAAGTATCACTACCAAAATATGAGATTGATGAGAGATGCTTTAAATATCAAAGCTTGGTATTTAAACCACTTGTAATCGTTGTTTTGATTTGATACTATGTGACTTATGAGTATGGAAAGTCCAGATGTTAAAGCAATTATTTGATTATTGAGTTGACGTGATGGAGGAACAATGAGATGGATAGTGGAACTCTTCAATAGTTAAACTTGAGTTAAGGCTGAAAATTAATATATTGAAAATTGTCGTACACATTGTTATTCGTTAGTATTTATTTTTAGAAAGAGAGGAAACATTGACATTTTGGCACTATTTCTGTAAAGACTAAGGTATCGGCTAAAAAGTATTTTTTCCCTAAAATTCCTTGTTGTTATTCACTGTTTAGGAGTAGTGGGATGGTATAGGGTAAGAATAATAAACTAAGTCGCATTTTAGGGTGCAAGGGAATGGCTAGAATATAGGAAATGGCATTTATCAAATTAAAATAAAGCAGAAGACCAATCACTAATAGACTGCTCGAGCTATTTAAAAGTTAACAGTAAGAAAAATGTATACACTATATGTACATACTTTCAAAGCTCTGAGTAAGAGAATCCTTAGACAGGTATGAAGGCATGACGAGAGACGAGATATCTGTAGGACACTGATATAAAATTCTAGTCTCATGCCAGTTAACTCGTGCCTTAATCTATAATATAATAAAATTGTAACTAAGCCGAATCTGAACATTAAATATTTTTTGGAAAATCTTATTGAAATAAACATTATTATCGATACAGAGGCCGAATCTATAGTTTTTAGAATTATTGTCTGTCTGTCGTCTGTCTGTTACCGCATCACAGAAAAAACACTGGAGGGATTTTGATGAAATTTTATAGCTGGTTATCTGGGTCAACATATAGGATACTTTTTCCCTCGGGAAAATGTCTCGTTTCTGGGAAAAAATACAAAAACTGCAATGTAAGAGTATACTAATACGTAAAACCTAAAAATTTGGTTTTTGGTCACCTGAACGAGGGCGGAGCAGCAACCAATGCTAGTCCTACATAATATATCTATATTGACTTATTCCAAATTCCAGGAGATAAAAAAACGTGTAGATCTAAGATCTATATGCGTTTGCTCGGTCGACCCGCCAGGTTGTACGGACATAGACGACGCTCTGCACGCCAGACCCATGGCCACCACCGACGGGCTCACCACCTACGATGTGGGAGTGCATATAGCAGATGTCACACACTTTGTAAGACCAAACACTGCGTTGGATAAGGAGGCTGCATCTCGGTCCACTACTGTGTATCTGGTTGATAAGAGGATTGATATGGTGCCAGGTATACAATCTGTTTTAATAGTAAAGTTATAATTAGGTAAAAATGGAATAAGTTTCTGTCTATCTATTCAGCACTTTTTATGTCGTATTACGTACGTCCCACTGTTTCACTGCTGCACTTCAATATGACGAGGATTAGGCCTTAATCCACCACGCTGATTAAGTGCGGGCTGGCGGACTTCACATGTGTTTAGAAAACTTGCTAGTTTCTCTCAGATATGCAGGTTTCTTCAGAATGTTTTCCTTCACCGTAAGACAAGTTGTAATCATGATGGAAATGATTCGCACATGAAAATATCAGAGGTGCGAGACCCGGAACTTGAACCCGCTTCACTTGGTTTCCCAAGCAAGCGCGCAATCACTGGGCTACCACTGCCTAAATAAGTTTAGAAAAGACAATGTTGTTAAAGACTTACTAACAGAATTTGTGTTAATTCTATCTACCTAAAATTATTGTTATGTTTCATCGTAATGGTTTAAATTCACCAAAAAGATTAATATTACTATTATCAATGATTTCTTCCTAGTTCTGTTGGCTGTTTGGAAAATTTAAATTTATCATATTGTTTTTCAGACTTGCTCAGTTCAAATCTATGTTCTTTAAGAGGCGGTGAAGAAAGATTAGCATTTTCATGCGTATGGGAGATTGATGAGAATGCCAATATTCTTTCTACAAAGTTCCATAAAAGTGTTATAAAGGTACTACATTATTTAATCTTCAGACAATTTTGTTTGTGTATATTTTTAAGTACATATAATCATTAGTCATATAATTAAAAATTATTCTACTGACTGCTAATTGTTCTAATAAAGAAAAACACGCTTGATTATAATTAATATTAATATTCCATTAGAAAGAAAAATCATGATAATAGTATTATGAGAATTAATTCTAAACTAGATTTTTTTACAATACTTTCTTAGATTTACGCGATTTTTAAATAAAATAAAACTATTTTCGGATTTTATGTAGCAATAGTATTGCTTAATATTTTAACTTTAAATAATAGCAATCTAGATTAACATTTTAACTTTTTAAAATTACAGATATAACAATAATATTTTTTTAATAAATAATTAATATTTTTAATTTTTTACTTTCTTTATGGTTATACATATTATAATAAAAGCAATACTAAATAATATTATTAATTAATAAAGTTTAAAAAAATGTAATAATTATAATAATAACAGCTTTTATTAAATTATTAATATTGCCATATTGTCAATTATAATACTTATTAAAAAATATTTTAAATATTTAGAATTAAAATCAACAAATATTATAAGGTACTTCATTTTTGAATCTTTGAAACCATTTCGTAAAATTGTGGGCAGGCTGTCCGTAACAAGCATATAATTATCTTCAAGACGTCTAAAACCTTAGTCTCTTCCGTGACCATGATTGCTGTAAAGCATTCGAAACGTCGAAAATCAGATATCAAAATAAATCCGCGAAAAGATCCAAAAAGACACTTAAATAGTTTTTTTTTTTTAATTTTTAATATACTTATTAAAGGCAATATTATTTAATGTTACTATTATAATCCCTTCTTTTCTAGTCTCGAGCCGCCATGACATACGAAGAAGCACAAATAGCCATAGATGATCCATCAAGAAATGACGATGTCGCGTCGTCGTTACGTGTTCTAAACGCCCTTGCGAAAAAATTGAAGCAAAAAAGGCTCGATAATGGTGCTTTGTTATTGGCTTCGCCTGAAATTCGTTTTCAAGTAAGCAAACGAAAATGTTTTTTCTTTAAAGAAAGATCACATTCATAAAAAAAACATACTTAAAAAAGACATGGATTTTATGTCCTTACTATTTTATACTTTTGAAAAAATATATTAAATAAAAATGTGGTTTCTCATCTGTAATATTTTTTTTTAAATTCACCTACAAATTGTTAAGTCAGAATATAGAATGGTTAAGTAGAACTATTTTCGATTGTTTTTTGTACATCAGAGAAAAAAAACATATTTTAATAATAAAACAACATCTAGACATTCGGTTGACACCTCACCACACTATCTTTTCCGAGTGATATAATAAATGTAGGATAATAATTATATTATTTTCTAATATTATTAATTAAAAAAACAAGTATTATCAATAACAACATAATAAAATTTAAAAACAACGGCATTTCCCAGGTGGACTCAGAAACTCACGATCCAATAGAAGTGCAAGCAAAGAAAGTAGTGGACACCAACTCGATGGTGGAGGAGTTCATGTTGCTCGCGAACGTGAGCGTGGCGGAGCGCCTCGCGGCCGCGTTCCCGCAGTGCGCGCTGCTGCGCCGCCACCCCGCGCCGCCGCCCGCCAACTTCCACACCTTCCTCAAGGCCGCGAGGCAGCAGGTATCGTCTTCTCGCTCTCTTTTTCTCTCTCTCTCTCTCTCGCTCGCTCTCACCGCCATCAGTTAGAACAGACATTGTGCAAAAGTCATATGTTAGCCTTAGGCGCCACCCGCCAACAGATATTGCCCTCTCGCTCTTACAGTGCATTCTGTAGTCTTTATCACTCTCACCGTCATTGATTAAACTAGATGTTAACACCTAACCAGGTAAATTTCTAAGAAATTAATTAAATTTCTAAGAAATCTATTGTTAACTGACACGCCGGTGTGTCCGCAGTCGTAAAGAGATTAAGAAACACCACGCGCTGATATTCGTCTGATTTCAGGCGAAGCTCTCACTCATACTTTGATAGTGTGTGTTGTTTCTACTAGATCTTTAAACTAGGTATAATATCAAAAAAAGTAATAGATTACTAATAATGACGACAATTCACTGGGCATAATTAAATTCAATACTATAATAAATTTTTTTTACATATTATGACTTTCATACCAAAGTACAATTACCAAGTAATGTTTGTGACATTCAAACTGAAAACAGTTCAATTCGTGAGTCGAGCCACGTATAGTTATAAGATTTTCTGATTGAGAAAATGAATGCACTGACGATTACTAAGATAATATGCGAATACTTTTTTTTAACGTTGCGAAATGCATTTACGCATACCACCTGCATACATACAGTTGAGACTCACCAGCTAGAAAAGCCAGCACGTCTTACTGCCTAAATCGAACCTCAGTAACCTAAATCGATCAGGAAATTTTAAATAAAACTATCTTTTCCGATTTTTACTTCCCGACGTTTCGAATTCTTAAGACAACAGGAAAACTGTATTTACACTAACATATTTTGTTCAGGGATTCGAGCTCGACGTATCAACAAACAAGTCCTTCTCCAAGTCCCTCAACGAGGCAGTGATACCGGACCGGCCGTTCTTCAACACACTCCTGCGCATAATGGCGACGCGTTGTATGCAGCAGGCCATTTATTTCTCAAGTGGCACAAAAACTCAAGATGAATTCTATCATTACGGACTCGCGTGTCCCATTTATACGCATTTCACATCTCCTATAAGAAGGTATGTATGATGAATATTGTGTTGGAAAAACAAAATTAGAAGTGAGTTTTAGGCTGAATGTTTTTTTTAAATTGTTCAAAATCGCTCTTTGAACAGTTATTTTCTTCGAACCTTTACGTTATGTATGGCTCAGATGTCTTCCGTATTATAAGTTACTTTCTACTCATATGTATCCATACTTAATATTATAAATGTGAAAGTGTGTTTGTTTTTTTGTTTGTCCTTTTTTCACGTCGAAACAAATTGAGCGATTGGCGTGATTTTTTGTATGAAGATAGTTGAAGGGCTGGAGAGTGACATAGGCTGAGTGAGGGGAAAAACTTGGAATTGTATGTATGCGTATCTATTTAATAAAAAAAAAAGAAAAAGAACGATGAACTGACACAAAAACAACACACATGTATGTGTTAAAAAGCGATAAAAATGGTTAAATTATACATAGGTACACACATTACATATTTATTAATTTTTTTACATAAGAAATCAATCATTTTTGCCTGCTTTGTTTTTTCTTTAGATTGTAGTAACAGTCTAGAGAATTATTATGTAAAAGAAAGAGACATTGCCCTGATCAAATTTTCATTTTCGATATACGAGCTAACTTAGTCTCTACAATCGGACGTAATATCTTTAAAAATAGGTCATAACAAGCGACATGTCACTAGAAGCGAAGTCAATATTCATTATTATATCCGACTTTGCTGTGAAGAATTTTATGGAAATCAAATTTCGCACGTATTTGCGTCATATTAAGCGGTTGATCAATATAGCCGGTCGGTAGTCATAATAAACGGATTCCACTGTGTCATCTATTGACGACGTTTGTGTCATTACAAACCTACTTGCTGTGCTAGCGGTCGCGGGTTCGAGTCCCGCTGGGGGCATTCATTTGTGTGATGAGTACGAATGTTTGTACTCCAGTCATGGGTTTTTATATTTACGAGTAAAGTTATATATGTTTAGTGTATCAACTATCTGGTATCCATAACACCAGCCTCGTAGCTTACCATGGAACTAGATGGTGCTGTATGTTAATGTCCCAAAATATTTACTTATTATTTATATTTATATTATGTAAAGAAGACATTGCCCTGGTCAAATTTTCATTTTCGATATAAAAAGAGCGAAGTTAGTCATAACAAGCGACATGTCACTATAAGTCATTATACCCGACTTAGTTGTAAAGAATTTTATATGGAAACCAAACTTCGCACGTATTTACGTCATATTAATCGGTTGATTAATATAGCCGGAGTCATAATAAACAGATTCCACTGTATCATCTATTGACGACACGGTTGGCTCAGTTTGTAATGAATACTTGCAGTGCCAGCGGTCGCGGGTTCGAGTCCCGCTGTGGGCATTCATTTGTGTGATGAGCACGAATGTTTGTACTCCAGCCATGGGTCTTTATATTTATAATATAGTATTTAAAGTTATATATGTATAGTGTATGAACTATCCGGTATCCATAACATAAACCTCGTAGCTTACCAAGGAACTAGATGGCGCTGTGTGTTAATGTCCTATCATATTTGTCCAACAGATATGCAGACGTGATAGTGCACCGCCTGCTGGCCGCGAGCATAGGCGCGGACGTGACGCACGCCTCCCTCCTCGACACGAAGCACGCGGACGCGCTCTGCGAGAACCTGAACTACCGCCACAGGCAGGCCCAGTACGCGGGACGGGCCTCCGTGGCGCTTAACACGCATGTGAGTTGTAATAACAATCTGCTTGCTTCCCAATACAAACTTTCATCCCCATTTTCACCTCCGTCATATCCAAGATACTTTAATGTAATGTAATTTTTGTATAATTCTAGATTTTGTTCAAAAATCGAGAAGAAATTGAGGCAGCCGTCGTGTTGGCTGTAAAGCGAAATGCGTTGCAAGTGCTTATTCCAAAATACGGGCTTGAAGGACCATTATATCTGCCATCGGACAAGTTTACGTATAATGAAGAGGTAAATGTATTAGTATTTAGTTTTAAATAAAACTTTGTTTTTGGTTTTTTTAGCGAATTTATTTTGATTTTTTGTTCCCGACGTTTCGAATGCTTTACAACAATCATGGTATTTAGTTTTATTTTTAATATATTATAGTAATCAACTTTTCATATATTATAGTAAACAAAAATCTCCACAAAGTTTAGAAATTATATTGAAATAATATTAAAATTACAATTTTTTTTATTGCAACCTATTTTAAATCTCTCACAGGAACATGTTCAAGTATGCAACGGGACTACACTAAAGACATTTGATGAACTAACAGTGAGACTTACACTCGACAGTTCGAATTTACAACACAGAAAACTTGTCTTTCAATTAGTGACGCCATATATACCTGGGGTCAGCTACGAACCAGCAAACAAAATGGATGTCGACACAGATGAAATGAAGTCCGTCGAGAAAAATGAGAAAAAAAGAAAAGAAACGAGTAATATTAGGACAAAAAAGAAATCTAAGAAAACAATGTAATATACTTTGTATTTGATTGTACAATAAATAATTTTTTATTGGCATTTGTTTTTTTTTTATTTAAATAGTACAGAGAGTACTTTGTTAAGAATGTTAAAATGTTTTCTAGTTAAATCACTTCGATAACTTTCTGGGTATTTTTTTTGTGTGAACCTGTTTTTAAATATTAGAAAATTTTAAACGTTTGTATTAGTATTTTTAATATTTTCTTAACTTTTATTTCTTATTAGCATTGAAATACGAAAACCTAAAATACACAGCTTCTCCAGTGTCCTTTAAAAATAGCAAACGATTTGAATTTATACGCGCTTATTTGCTAAGCGTGAATTTGTTTTTAGACAATCAATGATAACTTCAATATTTGGGTTTTATTCTTTAGTTTGGCTTAACGTCTGTATGACGCCATATTTTGAAGAAATATTTATTAGGAACTGTGCATCTACATCTAGGGTTTGTACATATGTCATCGTTTATTAATCGAGTTTATAATAAGATACCATAAGAACATGATTTATCTATACAGATAAATAAAATTCAATTTTATTATGTCTGATTGTAATGTCATAACAGCTCTTTACTAAATGCATATGAAATTATATACGGCACTTATAAGAAAACACAATTTTTAAACGTTTTGTCTGTTTGATCTGGCTAAACGAATCAGCTGGATTGATTTTGACGGAACTTTCACTGGCAGATAGCTGATGTTATAAGGAGTAACTTAGGCTACTTTTATTTTAGAAAAAGAATTCCGAATTCAGAAATTTAAAGGTTTCCGCTCAAAAAATTAAAAACGTACCTAGGGACGAACCTGCGCATAGCTCGAGGGTGAGTCGTTAGTATTTTATAAAAAAAACAAATAGGCCCAGTTATGCAAAAAACAGCCATGTGCGTAAAAGTACCAACAGTTATAAGCATTTTATTATAAAAAATAAACAATACTTATATAAATATTGTTCAATTTTCAAATAACCAGAAAAACAAAACATAATCCAAGTGCAACTATCGACAGAAAAATGCTTTCGAGTGCACGTTGTGTCTGCGCGTACACTTGAGCACTATAATATCTCCTGCGCAGTTGGCTAATCTCCATGAGATTGGCCGCCGTAGCCGGAATCGGTTAGGAGAACATCATCATCATCACTTTTATCACATGGCTGTTTTTTTGCATAACTGGGTCCAAATATCCACAGAAATATGTATTTATTTAATTTATTCAAAATTTGTTAAGTTCATTCATGAAAATTAAATATTTAAGTACTTTTTAAAAATCATCACCTGTATATTATTATTTCATCACATACACATAGTGACACCGATTGCTATCACATTGTTGAAACATTAACATTAATAAGCGTATGAGAATTGGAAACATCTAACAAATTGAAATTTTTTGGCTAACATATGTACACATTCAAATTAAAGTGCTTAAATTATTATAATCATATATTATATTGAAACTTAAAAAAATAACATTAAAAATGATCGACTCATTATTTTCCTTCAAAGGCATAGATTCCACTTTTCGTGACATTAACGACTCCTTGACCTTTGCCTAAAATATAATAAATTCATTCAATTTTTACGTGGAAGAACTTAAAAGAGATCTAAGTCGGCTTAAAGTAGGTAGCCTTGTTTTTTATGTAGGTTCTCTTTGACCATCAGGGCCTGTGTTTTTCTCTTTTTGATGAGATTGTCGGCCTTGATTAATTTGTTAATCTTCTTGGTAATTTCATTGTACTTCTTGATTGATTTCTTTTTGTTCCTGATTATTTTGCTTTTGTAGATGCTGTTGAGTGGTTTGTTGACCTTCTTCATTCGTACTTTGAATTGCCTGGCTAGTCTCTTGACTTTTTTGGGGTGTCTCTTGAATTTCTTGGGTTGTTTCTTCAACTTCTTGGGGTGTTTCTTGAACGTCTTGAATTGTTTCTTGATAACCTTGGCTATTTCCTTGATCTCCTCTAGTTTCTTGCGTTTTTTGACTACTTTCGTGCTCTTGATTACTGCTTGCAGTGCTATGTGGTACGTCATTAAAAGGCATCTGGGCTTGAGCGGTGATCCTAGCAATTTCCTGGTCTATTTTCTCAACAAGTGTCTCTACAGCAGCCGGCCATCTAGTAGCGGGCACTGTATGTGATGGCCGTAGCCGCGCGTCAGCCATTATCGACAGTCGAACAGTGTCAGCATATTGAATCAAAGTTAACGACATACCTGAAAAATACGTAGAAAATTGTTAATATTTGTATTAATATACATATGTTCTAGTACAAAGTGAAGTTACAATTTTAATTACTTACTAATGTTAGCTTGTGGAGGTCGCCAATATATAATATGATCCACTGTTTTTCCCCACAAAGTTGACCTCTGTGTAGTGTTTACTGGAGAATTGATTTCTGCATAAGACACCGCATATTTTCTAGATAGAATGTTCATAGTTATTTTCGCTAGGGGCGCAGGAATAGACTTGGTGAGAGCACCGCTACGTGTCTGAGCTGCCCAAGCTGCCGCTAAAGTGTTTTGTCGGGTGCATGCTTCATATACCACTGCTGATATACGGCGAGGGCTTGCCCCAACTGGCAGAGCTAGGCATATCATTCCTGAAATAAAATTAATAGTTTTTATTATTTATTCCACTTATCGGGAAAAATATGTCATGGACTAAAATTATATTAACTAGTTGCTATGTGGAGAAAAGGATGCTCCAATTTCTTCATCTGGGATGTTGTATCTGTACTAACTAGTACGTATATAAATTAGTATTATGCCTTAATTGATATCTTAATATACATATACATATAATTCTTCTGTATGTGTGTTTGTTAACCTACTCCTCCTAAAGGACTGGACCGATTTGGATGAAATTTTCTGTGTATATTTCAATGGGTTCCTGGATGGTTTGAAAATACAAATGGACCCAGTAGGTGGCGCTGCAGTCGGTGTGCCACTGATCATCTCCTAAACGGCAGGGACGATTTTAATTATATTTTTTGTGTATGTTCGAGTGGGTCCCGCAAGGTTTGAATTTAACAATAGATCTGGTAGGTGGCGGGTGTGTCACTACAATTTCATAAAAGACTATTTTCCGAGCAATAAATAAATTTAAATTGTTGGTTAAATAGAATAAAAATCGACGTGTGTATGTATGTTTCCTATGGACTCCAAAACAGCTGGAAGGATTTTGATGAAATTTTCAGGTAATCTTCAAATTAGCACAGCGGGTGATCCTGTGAATTTTATTAGCTATCGGAAGTATGTACGCGGGCGAAGCCGCGGGTACTGCTAGTAAATATATAAGGAATATGATATTATATTTGAAGAAAGTAAATTACCGCCAGTCTGCGACTTTTTGTAGTTCTTTCCATTGCCTTCGGCAAATGTATAGAGGAAGTCTTCAGACGCCGCCCTAGCAGTGATAAGCACAGAGTCAGGTGTGTCGCTCTCTGCGCCCTCGAAGAATGCACGCAATGCTTCTGTGGCAGCATATAAAGCGACGTCAGATGACGACACGCCGAGAGCCCGCGCTGCGCGTTCCATTCCTGCGCGAGATACCGGACGAGACCATGCTGTTACCTACAAAACATTAATAATTGTATTGAATTAGTATTCTGTCACTCACAGTTTAAGAATTTTAGAACTTTGTACGCACTATACATATTAAATATATAGCAGCATCTGTAAAATTAGAAGCTTAATTTCCGAGATGACACAGTAACAATTATGTTTGTTATAAAACGACTTATATTATCGTATAAAAAAGAGAAAAAGAATATCTTAAAAATATGTTAATATTAACCTTCCTCCCACATAAGGAAACAGTTTGCAGCATATGCCGTTTTCCATTATCAGCTCGTATAATGTCATTCCAGAAGCAGGAAGGTGCCCTGTAGATTTCAATTAAAACTTTTAGGGCCTCGTTTGTAGCTTTCATGCATAACTGCCCTATGTCGCTATATTTCCAAGTATATGTGTGAGTTTGTCTCACTCGCCCTGTTGTTAAGAGTTCATTAAATGCAATAACTTCATCTCGTACTATTGAAGGCAACTTGAACATCATTACAGTTGTTTGGTAAGTCGCTCCAATAATCTTTCTTGGTAACTTTCGTGGATCGAATGTTATTAGAGGAGAAACTATAATCTGTAAGTAAATGTATAAGTTTTATTGCAAGTATAATAATTTATAGGTCAACTTTTTTATTGATATTTATTCTTATACTAGTATTGCCTGGGCTCCGCCCGCGTTCAGATGACCAAAAACCAAATTTACATAGGTTTTACATATATCTTACATTATACTACATTTATTATTATATTACATATATTATCTTACATTGCAAATATACCAATTTTACATAGGTTTACATATTAGTGTACTCTTCCATTGCAGTTTTTGTATTTTTTCATAGAAATGAGACATTTTGCCGCGGTTAAAAGTATCCTATATGTTGACCCGGATAACCAGCTATCACCATACCAAATTTCATCAAAATCCCTCCAGTAGTTTTTATGTGATGCGGTAACAGACAGACAGACAAAAATTCTAAAAACTATAGATTCGGCCTCTGTATCGATAATAATGTTTATTTCAATAAGATTTTCCAAAAAATATTTAATGTACAGATTCGATTTAGTTATAAATTTATTATTATATATGTAAATATAACAGCTCTGAGACGTTTCTCTTGCTTTGCCGCCTTAATTAGACATGATAAAACAGCTCCTACCCGATTTATAAGGATTCAAAAATACTTACTTTCTAAACTTTAACAACTAAAAGACTAACAAAAGATAAGATTATCAAAAATCTATATAAAGGTTTACCTTAGGAACAGTTAGATATCTCTTAGTACATTCTCTTTTTATAGCTGTAAAAAATGTCGTAGTTCTGGCTGAGTGCTGTTCGCCATTAACAAATCGATGTTTCGTGACTTCTCTTAAAGCATTAGCTGCTGATACCATGACCATTCCTGCTACGTGAAACACTCCAGGCATCCCGTTGACTAGCTCGGGGCTTGTAGCGGGATCGTATTCACAAATGAATTCATTCCAAATATTAGATAGACTTTCATTTATTTTACCCCAAAGCTGTGGTATGTGTGAAGGCACCGGGAAGAGCTTTGATAACGCACTTTGCTGATAATATTCTCTTTGTTGAACTACTCTATTTGGAGGTAATTGTTCTATCAATAAGAAATCGCCAATATTAAGAGATTTCTTCCCAGTGAGTAATAGATGATGAACTCTTACTAAAATGTAATACTTCGGTTCATTTGATTTACAGGGAATGATTACGTATTGCCACGGAGGTTGTTCTGGCGGGAAATATTTAGATATTATTTCACTAACGTAATCCTGTAAAAGATATTGCAGTCTATAGACATATATTGACATACAAGATATTTCGTATTTATATGTAACATGTAAGAATATAAATATGATAATTATTTAATCAAATCTATTTTTTTATCTACCTGTATATTCAAGTCGGACACATGACGCCCACGATGAACTCCTTTAGCCACAAATACATGGTTTTCTATTCTAAATGGATGTGTTGCATCCCAGGCATAGTTTCCCCAACTTGATACTAAATGGTGCCGTAGTCTTGGAAACATCAGATCTCCGTTTTCGTCTCTACGCTCGATTACATGGTCGTTAAGTACATTTGTAATCTCTTCAGCATTAAGCGTACCTAATTAAAATGTATTTTTTTTATTCCAGTGGTGTTTGTTTAACTATTTAATTAAACAAACACGATGATTTTAGATTATTGTTTGTTTAATTATTTTTAATTTAATATTAATTGCCATTTTGATAAACTTACCTTTGATACATAATAGAACATTGATTATTCCTTGATTTCTATGTGTGTCCAGAAGTGTACGAATTGTATCTGTTCCTATGAATTCAAACATTGGATATTTACTTGAGAGTAGCTTTAGCCAAAAGTGTTTACTGATTCGTACCACTGAAATAAAAAGGAAATTATTTAAGTTTGATTGCAGTATACAATTGGTAGTTTGTGAAAAAGAAAATAAACAACAAACAAATAATTGTGTTTGAAAAATTTGAGAGATTATTTAGTAGTGACTGTAGTGTCTGACCGAAACAGGATTAGAGCCAAAACTGAAACCGAAAACGAACCTTCGGTCGATTACTGTTAATTGTGCAATAATAATATTTATATACCTACGTATGCATATATATTTTTATAAATGACATGTTTCTGATGGTGGGGTAGGTAGATGGGAGGGCCCAAGAGGGGATTTTTGCAGTTACTCAAGCGCGGCCGATTAACATAAGGGGATCCCCTCTAGCCTTGCACTCTGAATACCTCCACCATTATATAAGTGATCTATAGGGGTGTGCGTCTAGGGTAGCCGATCAAAATATTTAAAAAATATTTTGATGAGGTAGAAATACTTGAAATCGTCAGATTAAGGTATGGTGGGCTAATTACATCCTGAAAAGTGAGCAATTCAATAATCTGCCGATTTACACAAGCCGAAGAGGCAAAATCGACTATAAATGTTGTCAAACAGAGTGCAAGGTTTGAGGTATCCCCCCTTATGTTAATCTGCCGCGCTTGAGTAACTGCAAATAACCCTTCCTTGGGCTCCTCTACTATGAGTATAAGAATATTTTAAAATTGTTAAGTAAAATATGTACGAGTATATGACTTAACTGGCCGCTCATTATCCCTATTTAAACACTCCAATAGGATCCCATCAAAAGCGACAAAAGCCACATAGAAACCAATAAATATTTATTGGTTTCTATGTGGCTTTTGTCGCTTTTGATGGGATTCTATTGGTGTTTTTCAACAGGGATAGTAAGTTAAGCAATTGTGTACACTCGTACACGAGTAAATAAGTAGGTAAATTGAATGTTTTTCTACCAAGTATTTTATATATTAGGCTTGTAGATAATAGATATAAGATTTATAAATAAATGGGAGCATCTTCGACAGTTAATATTTAATGTAAATAGTAGTTTTTATTGGAAGTTTCAATTTTATTAAGTTCCGTAAATGAAGTTATATTCTCTTTCTTTGAAATGTGTTTGAGTAAATATTCAATCATACATTGCACTTAAACCTAATTTGATAACATTTATAATAAGATTTTTATTTAATTAATCTTGTTAACTAAATTATCGCTAGATTACGAGTTTTTAGACCTATTACACACCCTTATCTTTTTTTTCTAATAATACATATCTGCTGTCAATGACCTATTGGTATATCTTATATTTAATCTAATGTTTTTTATGTTTTTTCTTCAGTTGTTACGCTGATTTAAATGGGTTTTGTTAATCGAGTCACGACTGTGATATGAATATATTAATTAGATGCTCGATTACTCAAATACCTTTATAGTTTTTCGTATTTATACTATTTATCTATACATATGTATATTATAATAAAACTGTACCTAAAGGTCGAATGTCTGTACATAGAAAAAAAATGCTAAAAACCCAGCCAAGGGAATGTAGAAGAGAAATAGAACAAATCTAGATTTTTTTCAATTTTTTTGTTTCTCTGTTTGTACGAGCTAATCTCGGAAACTGTTGGACCGATTTAAATGAAATTTTGCATGGTGATACCTTATATCTCCGGTCAATATTTTAGACACTTTTCATCCCGGAAAATAAAACAAAACCCGTGAGGTAGTTAAAAAACTATAGTAACTTATACAGCTTAGTACACAAAAACTACTGATTGGATTTTAATGAAACTTTACAATAATATACTTCATACATTAGAATAACAAATAGGCTACTTTTTATCTCGGAGAAATGTACGGTTCCCGTGGGATAGATTTATTATTGTTTGTCGAGAACTCGAGCGAAGCGAGGGTGAGCCGCTAGTAATTTATATAATAATAGAAATGCTTACCAATAAAAGACAAAGTCAGAGCCGGTAGAGCGGAGACCGCGACGCAAAATGCGCAGTATGTGAACAGTTCTTCTCTGAGTCGAGTGAATAAACTAGGCTTTGTTCTCTGCATTTTTATGTTGTACACTATCTTTCCTGAAAATACAAAAAAAACATTATTTTAAAACTGAACTGTACAGAAAAAAGTTGGTATTAGTTATTAGCACTTTTTTAAATTTGTATAACGCAACAATTTTATAGTCTATTCAGACTGGAATCGATCCTCCGACGTCTTCTGTGCTAGACAAGTATCCTTCCGATGTGTAAAACAGACGATTAAAGCAGTTTATATTAATCTCAACTACACTTGCTCACGAGAGTATTTAGCTGTAGTAGAAAACAGGAATAACATAACGAATCATACATTTGTTTTTTACACTTGGACATAAATGTAAACAAGTGAACACTTTAAAATCAGAGAAACATTATAGTTTTATAAAAATACTAGCATTGCCCGCGGCTCTGCCCGCGTTTAGTTGACCAAAAATCAAATTCTTAGGTTTTACATACATATTTGTATACTCTTACATTGCAGTTTTTGTATTTTTTCTCTATATGTTGACCCTGATAACCAGCTATCACCATACCAAATTTCATCAAAATCCCTCCAGTGGTTTTTCTGTGATGCGGCAACAGACAGACAGACAGACAGACAGACAGACAGACAAAAATTCTAAAAACTATGGATTCGGCCTCTGTATCGATAATAAAGTCTATTTCAATAAGACTTTCCAAAAAATATTTAATGTACAGATTCGGCTTAGTTACAATTTTATTATATGTATAGATGTTGTATAAATTATAATAATTATATATGGTATACGAAGTAAGTTTAAGCAAGGTATAAGATATTATGATTTTTAAAGTTTATAAAAGACTAGGGAGCCTTACTTCAACCCTTGCTTCGCTCGAGTGCGTCCCTAAGTGCCTTAAGTGTTACACCCAAAATGTTATTCCAGGTCATTTATCTATGTACCAGGTCATTTATCTGTGTGTTTCTTCTAAATACGCCTAGCCCTTTTAGGGTGAAGTAAAACTAGAAAAGGAAACTAACTAAGCTGTAAGTCGCTGTCTAAAGCTGATATATCATTTTGCTTTAGTTTAATATATTAATAATAATCATTAAGTAAGTATATCACAGTGTTCCGAACTTTCAGAAAATACTTTCTATACTTGTGCTTACGACGTCACTAGCAAAGGCTTTCACTTTAATTTATAAGTTTTAAGCACAATTCTTAAAAAAGCAACGCTTCCTATTATAATTTTAATATTAAATTTATATTTTTGAAGATATACTTCTATTGGCACGTTTGGCAAAAATTGCGAGTATAATTTTTACGATGTTGTTGTTGTTGTTGATGTTTTGACTTTTTAATATTTTATTGTTGATAACGTAAAAGTAACATCGATATCTATACAAATACTTGATAAGCTACCTGTAAATAAAACGTTTATTAACCTGTATCGATTCTAATTAATTATTTCTATCTTTTGACGCTAGTTTGATTTTTTATAAAAGTCTGATTTCTAAGTTAAGAGCGCACCGAGCTTTTTATTTTATTAGGGCGACAGCGGGCAGGAGGGTGTGGCTAGGATGGACGGAACGCGTGCGAATTTAGGTAATTTTTTCGTATTATTAAAACAAATACACATTTTGAAAATGTAAAATATTAAAGTATATGCGTTATAGAAAACGTATAGTTTTGTTATTATTAAAAAACTGATGAACTTCCTTGAATTATTTACGCCGTACTAAGGGTTTATTTTGTTTTTTATATATCATTTTGGATTTTATTTCTATCGAGAAAACTACAAACAATCGTGTTTCTAAAGTATACGATTTATAGAATAAATCCTTAAATATCCTACATGTTAATTGCATAATTAAAGTTTTAGTAATAACAATACAGCAAGGGATCAAACGAACGCAATCATTTCGTAATTGCTTCGGTGCGCCCTTAAGAGTAACGATATATAATATGTAATATATAACATAGTTGTTATTTATTATACAATTTATCGAATTGGCAAAATCGCCTCTCATAACAATAAGTCAAAGTTCATCTCAAATGATATAATATGCAAAACTTATATCACAATTCACAGATCATATAATACTATACTAGTACTTATATGCTCACCGTTCAAGTTGACCACTGCACATATCTCTGACCCTCGTGATAATTTTATCAGAACCGTGGTTTCACTACGTACCGATAACATTAAAAAATCAAACAAAATTGTATGTACATATATCATTAATAGTTCTGCTTGTGCCTATTCACTGATAAGAATAATAATATCTCAATCTTTCACCGAACTTTCTTATTATTAACTTAACTCTACCTACATGTGAACTCTTAGAATGTCATCTTATTACTCGATGATGACAGCTATAAAATTTAGCTTCGTAAAAGTTTTTCGTACTATGTAATGTTTAACTTTATGTTTAATATTAGCGACTCACACATTTTTCTCCTACTCACATATACTCACATATTTTTTTGAGCGGAATGCTAATTACTTTTCTAAAATAAAAGTAGTCTATGTTACTCCCTATAAAATCAGCTATCTTCCAGTGAAAATCAGTCCAGCCGTTTCAGAGATTATCCGGAACAAACAAACAGACAGATAAAAATGTACAAAAAATGTGTCTTTCTTATAAGTACCATATATAATTTCATATGCATTTAGTAAAACGATGTTATTTTGACATTACAAACAGACACTTCAATTTTATTTATCTGTATAGATTAAGCAATATCTATATACGAGAATACTCGTAATAGGCAAAGAAAACACCGTTCAGTCTATTTTTCTCCTCTGTTTATTTAGTCGTTATTCGACGAGCTTTTTTATATAGATAGGTAAATTCTGTTCATATTAGTTTTTCTCGAATTTTCAGTAATGATTATAGCCGAATTTAAATCACTGGGTGAACACTTAACTTGATATACATAATACCACTGGTTATCTAATTTCGATTGAACTATTGAGTTCATCATTGTATTGATGTTTTTAATGTAGATACTTGAATCGTCATCATATTGGGAAATTTGAATACACAAGTAAATGTAATGTATAATATTTCATATTATGTAAATAAATATTAACCTTTAAATCACTCATTTCAAATTGGCGGTCCTAAATTAAGATGTGCGTTTGTATATTTGTAAGTTACTCGATATATTTGCGAATTCTGAACAGATTTTGATAATAACTTTTAACGAGTAGCTTTGTAATTGATTACATACATTAAAAAACCCTTTCAAAAAACGGTTTTTACTCTAAAAGTTAATACAGATATTGCACTATTTTAATGCTTTCAATGCATCAATGCAATTATGGTCATGCCTAACAGGTAGTCTTGCAAAACCTGATTAATAACTGCATATACAGTTTTTGCTTTAGTGAATATTACATATGCAGTTTCAAGTTTTGGCACAAATTCAGAATTGGGGACTTGGCCCCTAGCGGAGTGGGTGGTATTTCTGGATAAGGGCCGTGATAGGGAGTCGAAATGTTAAATAAATTTTTTAATACAACAAAAGATTCAAAAGTTATTGAGACTTAAAGTTACAACATTTCCATACATTTTCATATATTTCTTTACCACCATTCGGAGTGGGTGGTATTTTTAGATAGGGGAGGTGACAGAGAGTCAAAATATATTAAAAATATTTGGAGGAAACGTACGACTAAAAAGTTATTGAGACTTAAAGTTATAACATATCTAACACATTTCCATACATTTCTTTACCTAAATAAGTGATTACAACAGATAAACATACCTTTAACGAATAGTACGCATCCTTTTTTATGTACATTACACATTTTCACAACAATTAATGCTTTATTGTATTTAATATTTTAATAATTTCACAACACAAACAAAATGATCTTACATTTTGACAAAAGCAAAACTGACACTTTGTTTTATATTACCGCTTAAATGACAACAGATTATATTTGATTATTTTTGCTTTTTCTGTTGGTAAAATATTACTATTAATAAATAAATAAATAAAAAGAAAAATATTATTTTCACTTTATAAATACATTTATGACTTTTTATTTGATTTATGTAAAATATATTGTTTTACAATTGTACATTTAGTAAAAAAAATCATTTTTTTATCTGTGAATATTTTTAATTATTTATTTATTCGTCATATCTGGGTTAGGTTAGGTTAGAACATTTAAGATTATTTATTTATTATTCCTCATATCTGGGTTAGGTTAGGTTAGGTTAGAACATTTAAGATTATTTATTAATTATTCGTCATATCTTGGTTAGGTTAGGTTAGAACATTTAAGATTATTTATTTATTATTCCTCATATCTGGGTTAGGTTAGGTTAGAACATTTAAGATTATTTATTTATTATTCCTCATATCTGGGTTAGGTTAGGTTAGAACATTTCAGATTATTTATTAATTATTCGTCATATCTTGGTTAGGTTAGGTTAGAACAGTTGCCACAACGCACGAGCCGAGCGAGCGAAGCGAGCGTGCCGCGGTAGCGGCCGGCGAGTGCCATAAATGACTAGAAAACTAGAAAATTCGAATTTCACGCAAAGTACAAATAAAGACAATCATCTGGAGATCATTTTGACAATTGAAAGTGACGTTTTGACTCCAAGTGTCTAAATGGTAGTAATGTCAAAATAATGTATGGAAATGTTATAACTTTAAGTCTCAATAACTTTTGACTCTTTTGTTGTATTAAAAAATTTATTTAACATTTCGACTCTCTATCACGTCCCTTATCCAGAAATACCACCCACTCCGCTAGGGGCCAAGTCCCCAATTCTAAACGGCCGCCCAAGTTTTTACTAACCGTGTTACTTAGTGAGTAACTAATAAATGTTTGGTAATCGAAGAAATCTAAAAAAAATGGTAAAATAAAGGTCTACATGCAGCATATGAATCAACATCAACCGTTGGTTTTAAAATTGAACAAGAATTTAATTCATTTGAGATTTATAATAAATATAATTACAAACTGTGACTGCCTCGGTGGTGTAGTGGCTAGCATGTACGGCTGCACACCCGGAGGTCCTGGGTTCGAGTCCCGGGTCGGGCCAAGTTTAGTTATTGAGACTTTCTGTATAGTAAGTCTCAGTAACAGCCTGGAGTTGGGAAGTTGGCGGTGTTTCACCCCCGTGCCTCGGAGAGCATGTAAAGCCGTCGGTCCTGCGCCTTTACTCTCACCGGTCGTGTCGAGTGGTCGTCCCACCGGAGTATGAGAGTGATAAGAATAAAGAGTGCACTTGTGTACTATAATACATATCTCCTGCGCAGTTGGCTAATCTCAATGAGATTGGCCGCCGTAGCCGGAATCGGCTAGGAGAACATCATCATCATCAATTACAAACTATTATATATTCAAATTAATATGTCTTTAGTCGTATTAATGTCATGTTATCTTAACGCAACCTTAGATGGTTCCTAGAGTTATGTGCATTTCTCATTCTTTATAGGTTCAACAAAAATTATATATTCTTGGGTAGTTAGGCATTCTCTCTTTTTGGCTATTGTTTAGAAATAAAGACATAAATCCTAAGTAATATATCTAAGCTCTAAATCTAACAAAAATGTGAAGATCTTCATAATTATGTAAAAAAACTAGTAAAACATTTTATCACCTACCTTCACTTCCGAATAAAAGCACAGGTAAACCGTTTAGAACACTGAACGACAAAACGAACTATTTATATGTTAAAACTGTTCAAATTGATCAAAGTAAAACTAATAATATACTATTTACAGAATTGCACATTATAACTTCAACGGAAAATACGCTTTCTAGTATAAATGATTGTTTAGGAGTTAAACATGTGTATTACACAAGCTGTCTGGCGGGCGAGTGCGGCGGTGCCCGTGAGTGACCGGTGACGCCACGCGAACTTCCCTTGCTTATCATTATCACTTGACGCTTGTTCAAGGTTCAACAACGAGGCATCAGTAAGGCATTTGACATGTGACAACTTGGCATAGAAGTATCGTAGATACGAGACCTATAGAAATACTTTTGATCGACTTAGAAAAGAAGGGTACTTATTCATTTAAGATGTGTTTATTGAGTGTATTTTATTTTTTGTGTTCGTTCCACTCAATAAATATATTATAACGATTTTTATGAATCCTGTATATGTATATATTGTTTCAGAAAAGTGTTTACAAATAAAAAAGTGATATAGCATTGAAATAAAATCATTTTTTTTTAATTATAAGAAAAATTTAACACATGACTCTTATAGGTATTATTTGAAATCATTTACTTTTTCATTACTTTTTTTGTAATGTGTTCAAAGTGACTTGAATAACCCTGGTTATAAGAAAAGTGCTTAATTGTAGTGCCTAAAGTTGTGTTGTAACTTCTAAGCTTAATATATTATAGTGTAGTGTGTGAAGTTTTAATTTTAACGAACATCTATATAAGTCATGGTTATTAATAATTGTAGAGTAGAAAGTAGGTGCCATAGTTTTTTACCTTTTGCATAGTAACGGGATTTCAAAATGTAAGGTAACGAATGATGTTGCTAATGTTTAATCAATGTCAATATCGAGGGTGTAAGGTATAATTCTGAGTAATAACTAGGTATTATTACTTCATTTTCGTTTTGTAGAATGAAATTGAAATATTATTCTTCGTAATATATCATTATTATTACGTATATACTCGTATATCGTAGAATCTATTTTTTCCACGATTTCACTAGGTTATTTTTCATACAAAACATAAACAATATTTATGATGTGTATAGCAGCTTAGCAGGATATAATATACATAGGTAACTGGTGTGCTACCCCAGATCATGGTGCTTATAGCGGTTCCAAAAATGGCGATATCACATAAAAAACAATTCTATAAGAAAATAGTAACTTATATGACAATTGATATTATATTTTTACGATTATCAAAACGTAAAAAACGATATGGGTATTATCACAGATCATATAATACTATACTAGGTATTATTTATTATGAGATTTATCTATATTTTTTGGAAAATCTTATTGAAATAAACATTATTATCGATACAGAGGCTGAATCTATAGTTTTAAGAATTATTGTCTGTCTGTCTGTCTATTACCGCATCACAGAAAAACCACTGGAGGGATTGTGATGAAATATGGTATGGTGATAGCTGGTTATCCGGGTCAACATATAGGATACTTTTTACTGCGGGAAAATATCTCATTTCTGAGAAAAAATACAAAAACTGTAATGTAAGAGTATACTAATATGTAAAATCTAAAAATTTGGTTTTTGGTCATCTGTTAGTTAATTGTTATTTATATAGAATGAGAGGTTCGCAGATAAAATAGCGTAATATGTGACTATTCCTGCTCAATAACTTAGATTATGGTTGTAATGCATGTGAGTTGATCATAATTTACTTTGCCAATGTCATCTACAATGGATGTACCACGATACGGAGATACGAAAACTAATTTTACTTTAGTAGGCTGAAATAGTTTAATTTTTCTTACCAAAATTATATCTTTGTTACACAATATTACTTGATAGCTGTTATAAAATTAACAAATTGAATAGAATTAGGTATTCTCATTGTAAACTTTTGATCTGGGAAAGCATTAGGTGCCTACTCTAAGTATAATGTAATTTCGCAAAGTAATATAATTATATAATTAAGTATATAATTTTCTTTCAAGACTTGTTTCTTCTGCGTTGAGTCGGGGACCGGGGTTCGACAAACGACATGTTCTGCCAAGGGCGCGGCGCATGAAGGCTCGTGCGTGGTAGTAACTGCAATCCCTTAATTTTATGGTATTAAAACAATCGTAAAGGCGAATATTATATGTAAATAATAAAAGATGTAATTTAAATCGGCGCAGTCCCACTTACTAACACAATCCTACTTAAACTTGTATTCCTCGTCTTACAAGAACCTTTTTTAAGTGGTATTTTTGGTTTTTTCGAAATTGGAAATAGAGTAGTAATTGTGAGTGTATCGATTTCGAATTATATTAAAATAATTCGATACACTCACAATTATTACAATTGACGACACGTTTGGCTCAGTTGGTAGTGACCCTACTTAATGTGCCAGCGGTCGCGGATTCGAGTCCCGCTGGGGGCATTAATTTGTGTGCTGAGCACGAATGTTTGTACTCCAGTCATGGGTGTTTATATTTGTAATATGTATGTATTTAAAGTTGTATATGTGTAGTGTATCAACTATCTGGTATCCATAACACAAGCCTCGTAGCTTACCATGGAACTAGATGGCGCTGTGTGCTATTGTAACTTTATTCGTGTACCTCGTTGGACAACTTTTTTTGTATAAAAGCACGGATCTGTATGATCTGTGTTATGATTATACTAGTAATAATAGTAAGCTTTATCAGTCTCGCTTGAAACAAGACTGCAATTTAAAAAAAATACAGTGTCTCAAATATATGTAACATAAAATATTTTTAACGCAAATAATATAATAAAAAGCCATGTCAAAATTAAAATTATTTATTGAAACAATCTTGATTTTTAAATTAATAATAATATATTCTTTACTAAAGCTAGTGGGCTTTGACTTATGTAACTAAGTAATAGAGGAGCGTTTTAACGTAATAAACAGACGTAAGTAGCCATAAGTACACAAATGTTTGCGTATGCATGACGTAGGTATATACGTAAGATAACACTAGGTATCAATATAGGATGTTATGCTTTCACAATTCAATTGACTGTGACCGACCAGACCTCAAATAACACTGACTCATACAAGTAATAAGCTTTTTGAATATTTATCATTTATAAACTCAAATTAATAGCCTTATCAACGATTATGTAGGTATATTTTTAATTCAAGAAGAAACTTAAATAAATAGAATATATTTTTTATTACGCCGTTAAAGGAACTCTGGCTAGCCAACAATACACCATATAAAATATTTCATGGAAGATTACATTTTTCTATATTCAAAACACTAAAATACATTTAACATTAAAATCGATTAGACAAATGCTTTCAAAATGACATTGGGGATATAAAATGCATTGTAAGCGTGTAAGTTTGTACCTATTTGATACCTGACTATTTCGTCTAAACAACATTAAATAGGAAAGGAATATTAACGTTAAGTCAAATTACATGACGACTATACGTATAACATACGTACAAATTAAAACAAATGGGAGGTTTGATAAAAATTAAAAGTGAATTTCTTACAGCCACTCTTATCACATATTACAAGTTATCTACGAGTTTGTCTACAATAGAAAATCTAACATACTATCGCCTGTATACAAGTTTGTAAATTAACATCTACAAAAAATAGCTCCCGGTTCAAGTCCTAACTGTAATGTACAGAAGGGTCAAATAGCATTTGTATAAAATAAATTGCGCAAAGCAATCGCCTACCAAACGAAATATTGGATTTCACGTCAAACATCGAATAAAGGGTATATTCATACAGAATACATTAAAAATTACATACATTGATTATAATTTGGCATCCAAAATGAAAATCTTAATTTAAGCATGCCAGTAAATGCGAACAAGCCTTGCGACGGCGTCTTGTTGGTTGTGACGAGAGACGATGGCACTACGGCGAGAAACAAATTCTCGGGATTACTTTACTATTTTATCATTGTGACATCAATATATTTGCTAATAATATTCTGAAATAAGATATTATAAAGTAACACTATGATGTTTAAGTAACATTTAGCATTTAAACAATTTTTATTCGCTTATCAATCCCGAGAATCTTATACAAGTCATTAAGCATCAATATGCATTCAAATATTAAAGGAACGGCGAACTTGTTCATATGAAATGTAGGTGGTACTCTCAAACTTTATTATCATTATTTGGTACACTTTACATTTACTTTAATATTTATAATGATAATGTTTTAATGAAAATAATTATAACAGAATTTTACAAGTTCGTCATTCCTTATTAATATAATTGGCCTGCAATTTACCTCACGATTTCAAATACCGGAGTGTCAAAGATAAAATTTAGTTTATATGGCGCTCGCTCTAACTTGCTTAGGTGATATGAACCTCTGTTCAATGGACCTACGAGGTATTCCACTCACTTTCTTCGGTGAGATGTTATAATTAATGGACGAAGGCAGAGACTTATAGCCGCCATCGGAACTATAGTCCGTATCTGTCGACTGACCGTTTAGATTAGGACTGTACCTATTGCCATTGACGCTTTCCTTACTGCTGATCCTTCCATTGTACAGATCGCCGTACGACGTGTGATGTTTGATGCTGCTCTCTTCTATAACCGCGGCTTTGGATAGTAACGGTTCAGTCGACAGATAGTGCTGGTTGTGAAAGTTTTCTATTGATCGCGACCGTGCCGAATAAAGGTTCCTTCGTTCCGATTTCTCACCAACAGACGAATCACGTTTGATGTATCTTCTATTTTCTGTGTTACTGGCTAAGGCTTGTAGGTATTTAGATCCGACTCGACTATTTGACTTAAGCTGAACCGAGTCCGTTCGTTTGTCTGTCTGTCTGTTGTCAATAAGTCCGTTCACTTTTGCACCGCACTGACATTTCACGGTCCCGTTGGTGACAGGCCTCTTTGTCTTTTGTGCATCACTGTACGGCAGCTTCCTCCCGCTAGCTTGTTCATTCCAACTGTGCATAAAAATATTTATATTAGTAAGCAAAATCCATATATATGTTCATATATTTTTCATCAATTTTACAACTATTTATTTTATTTTACAAAACATAAAACCATACGAATTCATATAAATTAGATGATTATAATTATTTTACAGAAACTATTTAGAATAATAAGATTTAAATTATATACTTTGATTTTAACTATAATTATATATTTTTTTACCTATAATTATAATGTATTTATTTATTTTTATGTCTATGTAAATAATTCAATCGACACCGACCTCATCAATTATTATTGCTAACATACGTACGTACTAAAGAACAATAGTTTATTAGTTTTAAAATATGTACAGTTTGTTAAATAATTTAAAGTAGGTATCGGTGTGCAATTATTTTGTACTTCGTATGGTACCTTGACGCCATTGAGGATCTCACCTTTACGTTCTACAGCGGCAGCGTGTAACACAGAGACAATGCTCATAATCAAGGTAGGTTATGAATTAGGTTCAAAATCAAAAAAAATCTTAGTAATTAGACCAATTTCAAACAAACTACTCACATCACAAGTCAGTCAAAGTTAATAATAAAAAGGTGTAAGTTTTGTACGTGTAAGTCTTATAAATAATGATAATATAATATATAAATCCTATACATATTTTATTTGTACAAAAATAAGCGTATTATTCTTAGGCCGGACACCGATATACTTTCAATATAAATTGCTTTTCAAATATACATATATTATAATAGGAACAATAATACAACAGATTCATAGAATTAAGACTTTAAATAGGCACATTCGTTGTATATTTCATTTAACGTGAGTACTGTGTACCTCTATTCATATATTTCGAATACTTTTAATATTGGATTAGACCACTATATAAAAGAGAATAATGACATGCGAGTGTTAGGGCATAGATAATTCAGTAACAAGTATTCAGTGTAAGACTAGTACAGCAGTACCGGCTTTAGGCAAATTCTTACATATTTTAAGGCAACGGCTTTATAAATCTTACTAAAAATTCATATCTTATTTAGGCAATAGATATCATTATAAATGTCGATTATAGTTCACGTTTAGAAAACATAAACATTATAAGCTCAAGTGCAGTACACATCGTTGAATCACGGTCATAGTTAAATCAGTAATTTATGTAGTTATATATACAATACTGATTGGAGGATGTATCGACTGTGGACTGAGATTCGAGTATGTTTGCTAAAGCCGGCTCTGATTTCCGGTCCGATACAAAAGATGCAGTAAGCACAGCACATTGATAGAGCACAAAAGGCAGATAGCGAGCAAGCAGTCGATCCACGCTACCTGATCCGACGGACGAACCCTCGTACCCAAGTGGAAACTGGTACAATATTCCAATATTTCGACATTATCGAATTAAAAGCAGCATGTGAGGAATAAGAGCGTGATTATATAATGACTGGGGGATAACGGATGTCCAATTTGAAAGTAAAACACACAGACTACAAATGTGCCATAATTTAGCTACAAAACTGTCATCGGTTTAAATTTTGACAATTTTGTGGTTAAGCTACTGCAAATTTAAAAATCTACAGTATACCACGCCTTTTTCTTAATGATTAATAATAATCTAAAACTTTACGAGTAGCTTCGTTTTGACGAGACGCCCAACTTTTCTTTCTACGAAAATTTGATAGTGGTAGATACAATTGTGGATTGATACGGAACATGTCAAAATGGCGATAGTCTAAAATTTATTACTAACAGGCAACAGCTTGTTTTACAATTTAATCTTGGGTCAATACAACATAAACCAAAAAAAATGTTGTCCTACAAAACAGATGGTTTGGACTTTGGGTCAAATCGTTCCTCTCTCCGAACTTTTAAAATAACAACGCCATAAAATTTGTTAAAAACCGGCTGATCTGCATAGTATTTATTATTAAAATTATACATAACTAGGAGAATCCAACAAAAAAATATCAAAAGGTAGTTTCACACAAACTTTCATCCCCTATTTTACCCCCTTATAGAATGAATTTCGAACAATGCTAAAACACGTATTTATTTAATTTTATTGAAGAGCATTAATACCAAGTTTCAAATAATTCTGATTATAAATATTTTTTGGATTGTATTATAACGTGTTTTCCCGTGGGAATAAGATAATATTCCGCGGTAAAAAGTCTATGTCACTCTCCAGCCCTCCAACTATCTCCACACAAAAAATCACGCCAATCCGTTTCCCCGTTTCGACGTGAAAGAAGGACAAACAAACAAACACACTTTCACATTTATAATATTAGTATGGATTGAATGGTCACATCGTCTTACAATTAAAATGGTAGTATTTCTCAGTCCTACGCTCAGTACTACCTCCCACACCGTGATACTCCAAGCAATCCACAATTTCATCTACCACTATAAAATTTTCATAGAAAGAAAAGTTGAGCGTCTCGTGAAGTTTCAGCTTGTTTTCAATCATTAAGAAAAAGACGTGATGTACTGTAGACTATAAAGACCGTGTATGAAATTAAAGGAAATGAATACCAACTTAATTAAAACAATCAAAATTTAAATAGCATCGCCCATTTTGACAGACACGAGAACGATAATTGAGATGTTATATACAAACTTTTTATAATTAAATGAATATGCCAGTGAAATATAGTGACAAGGTGAGTGTGACTCTACACATGGACGTGGGTGAAAAGGACATTTTTTTATTCATGTAATCGCTAAAAGTTATGATCCATTTAGAATTTCGAAAATTATTTGCAAGACATTGAATTTTGCTAGTTGTATTTTTAGCCATTATACTGCATTGTTTTGTACACTGTGAGAGGCTGTATGAAGGAATATGTATATATATAATTGTAAATGATGAATGTAACATATGTAATAGGGACTTGAGTGTATGTATCGAAGCGGCGTATAACCTAAAACAAATAAATAAAAGAGTGGTAGAAAAGAAACAATTCATTACAATGATATATAGAATAAAAAAAAGGTAAATATGAGTAAATAATAAAATAATATGATCGATCAACTGTTTAAGGTGGATGTCGATAAATATAATGGGACAGGCATATAAGGGTATTGAGAAGATTCACTAAGAAGAGCTGTTTAGGTTAAAGGTGTTACCTCACTAATCCGGAATTTTCAGAACTCGTTAGCGTGGTGCCTATCGGCGGCCGCAACTGAAACATTACACTTTACATTAATATTACATAAGAATTTAAAACTTTATTAGATAAAATGCATGAGCTCTATAATATTAATTATTTCTTATAATTAAGTAAAAATAAATTATTGGCAAAAATATTAGTTTGTTGAATGGACTCTGTCGGCTTAAAATATACTAAATGGGTACGTAAACTTAAAAGACGACTTCAATTATCGTTATTAGTAAATCATCGAGTAGATATATTGTATTCCGGGTTACTTTTGAGTGATGGCCCTTTCAAGCGTGCATACATCAGATAAATCATATGTTTATTTTCCTTTTCCAGCATAATAAAGAATATATAGTGTTCTGTGTTGATACGATTAGTGTCACGTTACAGTTAACACGTACTCGGTCAGTCTGCGTGGCGACGTTGCAGGTGTCGTCCGCGCGCGGCTCGTGGCTCTCCGCCATGCGCAGCATTTGTTGCTGCAACACTCGCACCAGCCGGTCACGCTCCTCTAGCTGACCCTGCACCATATCATAAATAAGAAACCTGTCAAGCGCGAGTCGGACTCGCACATGAAGGGTTAATTAATATTTGCCTCTCCCTTATTAAGCTTTGAATAAATATTTAAAACTTATACAAGACGTTACAAGCAAAAAGGTCTAAAGGAAATGAAATACAAATTAAATATATAAAAAATACCTTAACAGTTTTATTTGTCATGTATATATATATGTACATATGTATATGTGTATTGTGTAAAATGTAATTGTTAAATACAGAAATAGCTAACAATCAAGCACATTATTTTATATTAAGCTAAATTCCATATTAGCCACACTGTGGCCTTTAAAATACCTATATGTAGGTATATACAAAAATCATGTTGATAGGTAAAAAGACACTTTCGCATTTATAATATTATTTCATCGTCTCATCGGAAGCAATAGATGGCGTATTCAGTTTGTTTATGCAATCAATAGAAGAAACTAAAAACATAAAATATTATGCTTATAAAAATATTATAATATATTTTTAAAATCAAAATCTGATTATTATTGTTATTGAGGAATTAGCCATTAAGTAATGAGTTTGTACTGCGTGTTAATAGATGGCTCCGTTTACATTTTATTTACTACGGTTAAAGGTTGTTTACTACGGTAACAGGTTGTTTACTACGGTAACAATGGTTAAAGGTACTGAAATTTGTATATTTTATATATTTTAACACATAGCCTGAAGAATAGTCCACATTATATGTATATAGGATGGGGCGTAAGAACTAGTATGTAGTAGTTTACGATATTTGTAAGTATTTATTAAAATAACCTTACATTTTCAAAACCAGATCACTTTTTATTTGATCTTCTATATTCCTACTATTTTCAAAAGCAGTTTAGATTTTTTGTATAGAACAATATCCGTTGTACCTGCAGGTAGACTATCTGGCGGCGCATTTCGGCGCAGGCGTCTGGGTGCAGCGGCGACGCGGGGGGGCGGCGCCCGTTGCCGCGCGCGGGGCTCTCCGCGCACGCCGCTAGCAACGGGTCGAGAGTTTCACTCTGGAATGGTCATTTAATGTTAGGGCTACTTAGAACTTTACCATATATGTATGTCAAAACTAGAAAAACGAAGTTATTGAAATTCAATAATTTACATTTTCAAATTATTATAATTCAGTAAATTCGGTTCCAGAGTTTCCTTGAAACTATCATATTATGCCAACACTTGAACGTGTCTCTTATATAAAAAAAAATCAAAGTTATTGAAATCCTTGTAAAATTTTAACATCTTATTAAAATAGTTCAGCAAACGCTAAATTCAGTGTAAGGCTTTGGGTGGTTTTTTGTAAATTAATATGATTAGGGATAGGTACTTTACCTCTCAAGATCTTCTTCTTAAGGTAAAAACTATCTAAATGCTATATAATATACGTAAATTAAAATGAACATTTTAGATACACAAACCATAAGTGCTAAATGATACCGAGAAAGTAGCTATATTTTTTATTTGTTTAGAAACATGTTGATGTTTGCGTTTTCATTCGCCATGCGTGGAAACTTGCATCACTAGGATCTCTATACGTAGTTATTAAGGTCGATTACACGCAAATAGATCGACTTATTAGTAAAGTGGTTTGCTACTCAATTGCCATTATAAATTTTATTAGTCTTGTAAAGGCACACAAAAGAAAGGTTTTGCCAGTGAGTCAAAGTGTTTAATAGGTTTATTGCAAATTGCAATGAATTCCTTTAATAACGCTACTTTCACGGAATCAATAAAAGTCAGGCAACATTTTATACTATCTATTTACAAAATTGTCATTAATATTCAATTAAGAAAACATATACCTCATAGTAGTAGTGTATTATATTTTATATACCTACCTAGTTCTTACCTACACTTTTAATGTTCAGTTTTTCTAGAATTATATGTACCTAGTACAAGGGAATGGCATGTTTGTGAAACAGTACGTGTTCAAGTGGACTTTGTGGGAAAAAGCCAAAGGATCTGCACTACACTTGTGACACAACACTTCACTCACGAACAAAAGACTTTAAAAGGTTTCCTTTCAGTCAGTCCTTTTCTTAGTTAAAATTTTGTTCCGTATATTAATTATTAACACTTTAATTTACAACTTTAACTGATCATAGATAGATATATGCTATTCATACATATATCTTGTATGTTTTTAACATACTTATAGTATATATGGAAACTGTTGGCAGCAGTTGCAAGTCGATAATTATCTAGCGTGTTTGTATGCTAATTAGTAACACTTGTGCATCTCATGTACTTACACTCATCGAATGATGCTCCTCCCCGGGCTGCGTTGCGGCAAACAAGGCAATGCAAACAACGAAAACATAAAAGTTACACAAAAACAAAATCAAAGTGCAATAAGCAAAACAGCGCCCGTAGTTCGCTGTTAAGTAAATGCAGTGTAGTAAACAGGCAAATTAAAGTTCACATTTACAAAGAAAAATTGCATTAACCACGAAGTAGTAAGAAAATTATTTATAAATGTATAATTAAATTAATTATACAACTATGAATAAAATGAGCATAAAAAAATCATAAGACAAATATGTAAATAAAAAAGTCGAGGCAAGGCATTTTTAGTAAGACAAGACAATAAAAACCAACACGTAAACTAATGACAGTAATTATAATAATTAAGAAGTACCTACTTATCTATACATATAATAAAATTCTGAGACGAATCTGTATATTAAATTTGTTTTGGAATCTTATTGAAATAGACATTACTATCGATACGGAAGTCGAATCTATAGTTTTTAGAATTTTTGTCTGTCTGTCTGTTACCGCATCACGGAAAAAACACTGGAGGGATGTTTATGAAATTTGGTATAATTATAGCTGGTTATACGGGTCAACATATAGGATACTTTTTACTGCGGTAAAATATCTTATTTCTGAGAAATCAATACTAAACGTTAAAACGTACATAAGTAGGTACGAACGCGAGCGGAGCGAGGAGGAGTCGCTAGTTAAAAATAAAATAATATAAAATCTATTGCATTATTTACACGAGATAGCATCTTTTTCTCACTATTGTCGCTACCGGGGCTCTAGGTCTCAGTGTTATCTAACTGTAGATTGAGAATCGTTACTGATTATGCACCTAGTTCCGCTCGATTAGATGATAGTTCATAGATAGTAGTGCATGCCAGATAAATTAGGAACACGGTGATTATAGCTGTATGTTTAAAAATCTTCCTTATATTACAACACAGAATATTCTAATGAGACACGCGACTGCAATGTTACGTGAGAAAAAATAAAATTCTTAAGCTTATTATTTTTATAAGGAATATTTAAAAGGATTGTTGCATTATAAAAACCAATCATAAAGTAAATTTAAAAAAAAAATCTGTAACAGAAAATAGAGTCGAGGTGAAGATTTCTAAATTCGCAAAAAAACTTTACGCTGTCTGCACTTATAAGACTACAACAAGTATTTCTCGTTCTAAATCCTATTAAAATCATCGTATGTTGCAAGTAATTGATTCGCAGATGATATACCATTCATGTTAATAATGCTAGCCAATATTTAAAGAGAAAATTTAAGAAACATAAATATTTATATAGATTAATAACAAGACAAATACGACAGGCAAAATCAAGTATAAACAAGACATCGAAAGAAAACAATAATGTTAAAGAAGAGGCGATTGCATGCTAACTGACCTCCTGTAGTACCCGTTTAAGCTGTAAGAGCAGAGTCTTAATGTCAACAACATCTTGTAGCAACGAGGATGGTGCAGGTGCTGGTGATGTACTGCCGTCGCTGATGCCGGCGTCAGACGGTGTCTGAGTGCGCGAGCGTTGCAATAAACGAGCTGTACGTACGGGCAGGGTGGCTCTGAAAATGATCAAACAAAATAAATGTAATTCATGTTTTAGACATTTTCAAAGCAGGTGTTGAAAATTTCTCCATTATCAGGACAAAAGGCGAGTTCTAAAAATAATAGGAATAGGTGTCCAAAATTAAATATTGGGAGGTTTAATGTTTCTAGTTTTATTTGCAATTTTTCCTTCAATTAACCTTCTGACATAAAATTATGTCAATACCGGATCTGCAATATAGCTTATATGACAAAATTTTAATATACGCGACAAGTACTAAGAGTTTTTGGGTTCAAAATAAAACCTAACGAGTACGTTTTCAATAACATTATCAAATATAGCTTCTTGATTAAACATTAAAGATATTTATGTGTATAATCAAATAATATACTAATATTATAAAAGACGATCACTTATTTTTTTTTACTACCAAAAATAATAATACATATAATATGTAAGTGATATGATAAAACTAAGAAATACGTCTTTTCATATTTTAAAAAGAATTCAAAAACAATTTTTACAATAATTAATTATGAACGCCGAAAACGTGAAAGGATCCTCCCTGCATTTAAAAAATTATATATATATATATATACACACACACACACATATATATATATATATATATATATATATATATATACATATATATATATATATACATATATATATTTCCCTCTTGGTATGTATAGGTTACCATGTGAATAATATAAAAAAACTTTTAACAAGTATAACAGATGTTGTACATATTTTATAAAATAAACTTATCAAATTATTTATTACAAACTAATTTAGGAGTGTCAAGGTTAAATTGGCTGTTTTATATGGTTTTAATCATTTTAGTTGAACAACCTTTCAATATACTTTGTGTGGCTTCTTAATTTTAGGAAATGTGGAACACATGTTTTATTGATTTTTTGCCATAAGGAAGTATTTATAATGATGTTACACACCTACTTATATTTTCAACCGACTTCAAAAAGGAGGAGGTACTCGAAATCGGTCGGTCAGTCGTTGTGCTTTGATACAAATCAAAGCACACCGACTTCGAAAATATCTGATTCAGTATCTATCTATATGTAGTAAATGACATGTACCAATCAGTTATTTTTTACTTTTTAGTTAGTGTTTTTTAAAGTCGATTTTTATTTTTTATGTCTACTTATTACATGTAATTGGCCATAAGATAATTTTCTATCATGATTATATATCTCTAAGGGTAACTTGCACCAAAATTATTATTTTGATTTAAACGACCTTATTATGATTAGAAAACATTATACAGTATAATTTGACGTTTGCTAAACGTATTTAAGACATTAAAATCAAATTAAGAATCGCATTCAAATTGTCCTAAATATAAAGCTTATATTAAAGTAGACATCAGATTAATGTAGAAATCCGCTAAGTACCTATAATAAAAACTTAAGAAAGTAGGTCTTCTATTGCACGGTTCGAAATGGCTATGTTTCAAGAACTTGGAATTTGACTTTTACAATAAAATATTAAGTTAGTTTACAGTTTAAAAGCTTTATACACGAATGCGGCGGAGCCCAAAGGAGGGTTATGGGTTTGACTTGTATGTATGTAAAATTAATGTTTGTCCGATCTTCCCTCGTAATTACTAAACGGCTCAATGATTAATCGATTTTAATTCTCTCCGACTGTATTATCACTATTTTTCTTTTTTAATTCATAGAGTATAAATTATCTTTTTAGTTCGCTTTTAACGCAGCCGAGTTTTTTATTTTTATAATAAAAATTTTTATTGGTCTGCAATCTGCATAATTTTGATTAAGGTTACAAAAAATATAAAGTTACTTTTGACGAATTAGTAATTTTATCTCTTATCATTATTATTTTTTATTTTAAATTTAAATTCTAGCAAGAGGTAATTAAAAGATATTTTATTTATATTAAGTCACATAAGATGATTTGTATATATAATAAAATCTATTAGAAGACAGCATAAGCTGACAAGGTGCGTATGACAAAGTTAAAAAGATACTTATAGTTTATCATAACATGCGATACAAAAGATTAGGTATAATAGGTAGGTAGATACATAAGTAGATTGTGTATTTAAAGTATATATATGTTACAAATATCTATTACAATGTATTACATATACACTAAAATAATACAATAAATATTAACCCATCGGTTTCTTGTTGCAAATGTAACTAAACGCTAGCCGGTTATTGGCAAACGCAAGGTTACGATATTACCTATTGTAAGTTGTAATCATTCTTAACTTAACCAATAATTTTAACTTTTATAGATATAATATTTTTGAACACATTTTATGTACGCCGAGATCGCCTGACTACGTGGGGAAATTGGTACCTACTACAACTTTCCATCCCAGGTCGAAAATCCAGAGGCAGACCCATAACTAGATGAAAAGATGTAGTGTCAAAGGACATGAAAAAGTGCAGGCTTTCCGAAGACGATGTCTCCGATACAGCGAACGACTACCACCATGTGGGATACATAGCCAGGAAGAGAGAGAGAGAGAGAGAGAGAGAGAGAGAGAGAGAGAGAGAGAGAGAGAGATTTTATTCACGTTATGACTAATTATAATTTTTATTTCTATAACTTATATCAATTAAAAATATTTTTTGATGACAAGAAGTGATTGTTGTCATATAAGCATATTGTTGTCAGGATTTCTCAAAGAGATAAAAATAAGAACATTAGTAGATATAGAAAGGAAAAACGATAATATCTGATTACGACATAAAGCAATAGAGCGTGATGGAAAGGTGCGAATGAAGCAGTCCATTTCAGTATTTTAATGGCTCATTATCGAGATAATTTGTTCTAATTATGACGTCATAACATATCTGAAACTTTTATTTTAAGTTTAGTGACTTCATACTATGTGGGTTTGTGGCCTTTTAGATATAAGAAAAATCCTTGAATCATATATTTCATTTTAATTGGATCTCCAATTGGCTATATTGCACACAGACCTCTCATTTGACCTCGATATAGGAGTAAAGAAAATAATAGCTAGACATCTTACTTTTGTTACATCTGAGTAACCGAGTCAGATAACGGATACATTTGAAAACATTAAGCTGTCATCGATTGATAAAAATTGTAATCAATCGAACGATATCGTACTTAGCCGACTGATAACAATGGGAAAACGATTTATAAGAACATAACAGAATTTACATTTAAACGTAAAATAAAAATAGTTACTTTATAAAGATCTATTAAAACAACTCACTGAAATATCTATAGCGAAAAATTGAGTATCACGAAAAGTGGCACGCGATCTTAAGACATAGTGAATCGGCACCTGTATTGCTTGGCCCTCTGACTCCGCAGGCTGGGGGCCGGGCTGGAGGACCTTGTGGGTTCTGCTACATGAAGGTCGGTTTTCTGTCGGCGGGCTCCCAGAGCTTGCTGGCCCGAAGCGGACGTGGCACATGAACGCATAGCGGGAGAATTTCACGGCGCGCACGCACACGACCGACTGAAGTGTGCGCGCCCGCGCTATCGCTGGTTCCACCGCCAGCTCGCCCGGAAAAATCAGATCTCGCGGCGACCCTACCCATTCACGCTGAACGGATCACAATAACACTGATTTCTTTTGTTACACTCTATTTCAAATAGGTGTTTTAAATTAATACTATGTTACTAGATCATACGTCATGATATTTAACATTTACAATTAATTAAAGTAGTAGATTCGCAACAGTGTCACGAAGCACCCACTGGTAATGATTGTTTTTGTTCCACCATGAGGGGCATGTCGACTGACGCAGCCGAGTGTGTCGGAAAACAGAACGTTAAATAAAACTACTACCTATGCAGAAGCGTCACACAACAACTGTATGTCACGCTCATTGCCTCTCACTAACACTTTCTTTTGCGCACGAATCTTTAAATTGTAAGATGTCATCGTTCCGAATAAAGTGTGCATTTTGAACAATTTTCTGTTCATTATTTAGGTTAATTGACTTTACTGTTATTTGGATAAAAGGTGGCGGCATGTTGTTCAAATACGTCTTAATTAGAAAAGAACTTGTAGTAAAGATATATATATATATATATATATATATATATATATATATATATATCTTTTTATTTACAAATCTAGAGTTTTGAATTTATATGCGGAATGAGAGTATTATTCAGATGTAAATATTATCTATAAAAACATATATACAAAGAAAACACTTTATTTATTCTTTAAACATTACAAGTTGAACAACACTTGTGCAATCTACTCTTAGGTATTTGGCTTATCACAGTTAGTTATCAGTAACGACTGTCGATCATTGCTTGCCGTAGTTAAATGTATTCTAGGTTAACAACAAGCTAACATAACACCGTTTTACAACATAATATCAAAATTCGTAATAGATATTGTAAATGTATTGTATATTTATAACTTTACTAGCGAATCACCCTCGGTTCGTCCCTAGGTTGATTCCCCATACAAACTTCTATCTCCATTTTCACCCTCTTAAGGGATGATTTCCGAAAAAAAAGTATCCTATGTCCTTCCCAGGGCCTCAAACTATCTTTTTACCAAATTTCATCTAAATCGGTTTAGTAGATCCAGAGATTATCCCCTAAGACGTCACAAACTCACAAACTTTACCTCTTTATAATATTAGTATAGATAACATCCGCAACGAAAGAATAAGTATTTATAGTAACTAAAATGCTATTTGGCGTAATAAGAAAAATAAAAAATATATGTTTTCCTGATGTAAAATGAACGAATATTTTTTTCTATGCAATAAAAAAGTTGTAAAAAATTAAACTTACATAATACTTGATTGTCAGCTGACTAGATATTTAAAAGTTGAACATCGTCTAACATCATCAAATGAATACTCATACATGTCAAGTAACGGTACAAGTCGCAAGAGTGGCTTTTAATTTAACACTACGAATTATCGAGCTCATCAGATTACATAACGGTCTATCACCGAAACATTCAATCACGCCATAGTAATGGCTTAATTTTTTGCGAAATAACCATCTATC